GGCGTGGCGTGACGTGGCGTGGCGTGGCGTGGGTTCTACTATCTCATTTCACGATATTAGTTTATTCCAATTTTTTGTCAAGTGAATTTATTAATTATTTGAATTTTATTTTTGTAGCAAGCAAAAAATTTGTAAGATTTATTAACTTTAAAATGTATATATTACTTGATGAAATATTAATATAAAATCATTCTATTTTGCTGAATAAAAAATTTATTGACTAAAATGTCATATAATAATTTCCAAAAAATTCCAAACAAAAAGTATTTTTAAATTTTCTGTTTTGAAAAACAGTTTTTAAAAATGAAAAATAAAAAAAAATTCTACAATTTTAAAATGGACTTTTAAAATAAAAACTAAAAAGATTCCAAAACTGAAAATTGAAATGCAAATCAAATAGGGCCATAAAGTTTTTTTTTTCCTCATTTTGTATGAAGTTATTAAGGGTTTATTTGAGTCCCATTATTTAGAAAAATAGATTTTGTAATAGTATTTTTTTAATAAAACGTGTGGTTAAAAAATATAAAAAAGTTTTGAATTTACGTGTAAATTTATTTTATTGAGAGAATATATGATTGAAAATGGGGAAAATGAGTTTTTTTTTTAAATGGAGCTCAAATAGGTCTAAATGTCAATATTAGATTTTTAAAGTAACTTTTTAATTTTCCGAAAATTAATCTCGATTTTGACCTCTAAGACTATCCTTTTCAATTACGCTAAATTTATGAACACAATAACAATATGGATTTGAGATAATTCATTGATTCTAGTTAGTAATCGATCACTTGAACTAAAAACAAAATCCAAAAGGGTGTTTTTAGTGAATGCAAAAATTGAGTTCATTAGAATTTCTAAGATTGTGGTAGTAGAGGAGTAGGCTAGGGCTAGTTGAGCCTTGTCACGGTAGCTAGTAGTTTTACTAGTTGAGAAGTGGTTTGATAGGTCAAGCCACTTAATGACTCCATATCTTTCAATTCGTTTATATGTTCTCTTTTTCGCCTAAGTTTTTATGTTCTTTAGATATCCAGCTTATTTAT